GGCGTGTCTGTGTGTGGGTGTGTGTGGGGGCGGGGGGGCGGCGGAGACGGCTATAGGCGCCGTGCGTGCCTCTGTAAGCGCCGGATCTTTATATAACGTGCGGGCGTGCTGCCCTGTGTGTGTGCGGCTAGTGCCAGATGTGGCATCTTGGCGGTGTGTGCGTGTCGAGTCTGCAAACCAAACTCCCTTGCTATATACATATATATGTGTGTGTGTGTATGTATCAGGGCTGTGGCGACTGTGCCCATGCCGGTCTTTATGAGCATCTTATAAGGTCGTGCTGGGAGTTTCTGCTAAATCGTGGGAAGGTGGATGCAATTCACGGATGCGGCTGCCAGCTGTTCGGTTTGGCTGTGGTTGCGGCGGTGACGATGTGGCGCCTGGGTGCACGTGCTACTGGTACCTGTGCTCCTGTGCTGGGGGATGCACGGCTGTGAAGTGCGCATGCGTTTGACCACAAACTTTTGAAATAGTAGTGGGATCCTACAGAGTAAGCTGAGAACGAGGTCGAGTTCTGCTTTTTTTTTTTTTTTTTCAGTATTCCCTGCTAAAATAACACTTTTTTGAACCTTATGGTAAAGTTGCCACATTTTTTGTGTAAATAGGAAAAGGTGCATGCAGACCTCATTGCATAATGGTGATCTTGAAGAGTAGGTGGGCATGGGTGAAGAGCCTGGTCTGGCACTGGCACCAGTACAGCTTCTACCCAGTCTGAGCTCCAGTTTTCTTACCAGGACCATCATGTGTCTGAAATCCTGAGCAGACACAGGGACAGCTGGTGGCTGGACAGCCTCCTGTATGCCAAGACAGAATGGAAGGGCCAAATGGAGCCCAGCCTGGTTTTGGGTGGCTTGCTTGGTGGCATGAGACCTGGAAAGAGTTTGCCATAGTGGACGTAGGTAGGTTTCTGACACATGCCGGGCACTGTTGGTTGTCCAGCTTGTTTAAAACCTCTGTTGGCCTTCCCACAGGTCTGCAGGCTTTTGAAGATTCCGAGGAATGGGAGATAGTCTTCCCTGCACTGTGGAGTCGGGGCCAGCAGGAGCCAGCCGGTGGCAGTGGTGGGGGTGGAGGGTGGAGAGCTGACCCCAA